ATAATAATAATAATACGAAAGAAGACAGTGCCTCCACCACTTGTCACTCTGAATTCGCCTTCACTAAGCCCCACGAGTCACAATGTGCAACTCGGATCTCCAAGTCAACTTTCTAATCTTGCTACTACTAACACAATGGTGGAAGATGAAGTTACTGATGGGGATTCGAAAACTGAAGAAACCCTAAATCTGAAATTGAAAGAGGGGAGGAAACTCTTGGTAGATGTATTAAATGACAATCATAACCCTGCTAAAGGGAGAAGCATGAAATACCAAGCTCCGAAAATCATTGATGGGAAGGTAGAGGTCCTAATTAAAGATGGAGATTTTATAGCGGAAATCAAGTTACCATCGCTTGTTCTTTATGCCCTTGGCGGTGAACTAAATATGAATGTTGTTAAGAACTTTATGACAAGGAGTTGGAATTTTGTCAATTTTACATACATGTATTACCATCGGGAGGGGTATTTTATTCTTCGCTTCAAGTCTTTCAGAGAAAGGGATAAAGTTTTGATGAAGGATCCGTACTCTATCAGAAACATGACGTTATTAATCCATGAGTGACGCCCAAATTTCACCCTTAAGAATGATCTCTTAAGAACTCTCTCAATCTGGGTCAAACTTCCCCTCCTGCCATTGTACCTTTGGGGAGATGTTAGTCTCAACAAAATTGTAAGTGCTCTTAGGAACCCCATCGTCACTAGTAGACTTCGGGTATCATATGCTAGGATTCTTGTGGAAATGGGTGTTACTAAAGAGTTTCCAAAAGAGATAAGTATTTGTTATTCTGATGGAGAGAAGATGAATCAGGCAATTGAATATGAGTGGCGCCCCAAATTCTGTGGAATCTGCCCAAAACTGGGACGCAATTGCAACAAGCCTAAACCTAAACCCAAGGTGAAGCAGTGGAAGCCAAAACAAGGTAATCCAGTGGAGGGTGAGAAGACTGTTGTTCCCATTGACAAGGTGAATGGTCTTGTTAATGATAAGAATGAGAATAAAGACATAGATAAGTAAGAAACTTCTAAAGCCAAAATGAACATGTTTGTAGATAAAAGTGGTGAGCATGTAGGAAGTTCTAAAGATAATGAGGACTGGACTGCAATTAACAAAAGTAGCAAAGATCGTGGCAAGAAAATTATTGTTGAAGAAATACAAGATCTTAAAAACACAAGATAATGTTGGTTGCTTGGAATATTAGAGGGCTAAATAAGCTTGGAAAGCTCAAGGAGATTAGCTCCCGTCTCCATACCCTTAAAGCTGATAGCAATATTTTGATAGAGACTAGAGTGAAACCGAGGCAAGCTAATAACATAAGGAATAAACTCCACCTTGGGGGAAATTATGTAGATAACTATAGCAGTCACGATAGTGGAAGGATTTGGGTTCAATGGAACCCTAACTCTGTTGATATTAAAGTCATATCTTGCACTAGCCAAATGGTGCACTGTGTAGTCTATGACTTGTAGGGGACCTTCAAATATTGGCTTACGACTATTTATGCTTTAAATAAATTGGACAAACGAAATATTCTGTGGAAAGATCTTGGCAAAATTCAGCTTCAAGGTCCTTGGGTTTTATTGGGTGACTTTAATAATGTCTTGAAATCTCAAGATAGATCTGGTGGGAATCTTGTTACAGAAGTTGGATACACTGAACTTCAAGATCTTATGGATGTTAGAGGCCTTTCTGAAATAGATAGTTCTGGGGAGTTTTATACCTGGTCGAATAAGCATCTGGTTGGGACTATTCATTCTAGGATAGATAGGGTGCTTGACAATGCTGATTGGTTCCAAAACCATCTAAAATCGAACCTTAAAATTTTCCCCCCTCATGTGTCTGACCATGCCTTTCTTTACATATCTAACCAGCCAATTGTTAAGTATAAAAGGAGATTTAGATTTTTTTAATTGTCTTACTAAGTTATAAGGGTTCAAGGATGCTATTAAGGATAACTGGAATGCTCCTTTTAATTGCAGGCCAATGTTTGTTCTTTGGAAGAAGTTGGAGAGGCTTCATCATTTGATGTATAAGTTGCAAAAACCTCTTATTTTATCCAAGCATAAGATTATCCAGGCTAGAAGTAACCTTGAGAAAGATGAAAAGAACCTTAATGGGGATAGATTTAACAATCAGCTTATTGAAGATGTTAAGATCTGTACTGAGGATCTGATAAAGTGGAATGATATTAAGATGGCGATTCTGAGGCAGAGGGATAAATTTATTTGGCTTAAAGATGGTGATGGCAACTCAGCTTTCTTTCATGCTGCTATCAAAGCTAAACATAAGTCTGGCAACTTGAATATGTTACTTAAGGAGGATGGTACTATGGTTGTTTCTCAGTCTGACATTGGGAAAGAAGTGTTAGACATCTATGGCAACCTGATGGGTAAAAAAGATTTGAATTTGAGGAGTATTGATATTAGTGCTATGAGGAGGGGCCCCCAGGTTACTAGTATGCAAAGTGATATGCTGATTAGGCCAGTTAAGGAGGAAGAGATTCTCTCTTCCCTTAAATGCATTCATGACTTGACACCTCCAGGCCTTGATGGATTTAATGCAAAATTTTTAAAGCATTGTTGGGATATCATTAAAGGGTATTTGACTGCCACAGTTCAAGAGTTCTTTGATAAAGGGTACTTGTACAAAGCTTTTAACTGTACTTTAGTTTCTCTCATTCCTAAAAGTAAGACTGCTATGAGTATTAGGGATTATAGGCTTATTTCAGTTTGTACTATACTCTACAAAATTATATCCAGAATTCTGACTGCTAGGCTATGGAAGGTTATTGGTAAGGTTGTTAGCCCTAACAAGGCTGCTTTCATTCCTGGGCAGCAAATTCAAAGTCACTTTTTATTAGGTTTTGAATTGATTAAAGTGTACAGTAGTAAATGGGGCCCCCAAGATGTATGGTGCAGTTAGATATGCAGAAGGCCTGTGACATGATTTCGTGGCAAGCTCTCCAGAATATTTTGCAGGAAGTTGGTTTACCCTCAAAGTTTATTAGTTAGATCATGAATGTTATTTCTTTAGTCTCCTA